GGATTAGCCAATTGAGCCATTGCGCTTGGCCCTGTTATCATTGTCTTCTGTATAAGGGGAGGGTGAGGCCCAGAGAAGTCCAGTCATGTGTGTGCTCAACAGCATGGGAGAGATTTCCTGCAGAATCTCTAGGCTGGGTTGCCTGCCCACACTGAAAATCAAGGCTGTGTAATCTTACAACTTCCTCAGGCAAGCACAAGGTGTCCAGTGAGGGCGGTGTGGGCTCAGGCCTACTTTAGGTCATATATTCGCTGCTCCATGAGCAAAAGAACAGAGGGGTTACACATGTGTAGTAGGCTTCTTCTTCTCTCCCACAGTCTCTGAATTTATTGTGATCAAGTCATCTGCTCCTGGGATCAATGTCAAGAGAATTCTAGAATTACAGGGATGACAAACATACCACAAGGCATTCGCATTCAAATGGCCAAGTCCTGCTTCTCTTTTTTCTGTAGGCATCATCCAGCACCAGGGACAGGATAGGGGTTTTCAGAGGCAGCTTATTCCTGATCTCTCTACATTACAAAATGCTTTCTTACACGAAACAGTTCTTTCTTTGTAATTCCCATGCATGGATTTTCACTTTATCCCCCTTGGGAGGAAGAGCTCGCTCCTGCCTCTATGTGCCCCCCTCATCAGCTCTGGGGCAGGTGCTGCTTATTCTGTGGCTGACCCAAGGGAGCATGCTTCAGAGCAAGACAACCATGGAACAGAGGTGCCAGTGCAGCCAAAGTTCAGGACAGAAATACATGGCCTTGTAAGAGAGCTAAAACCAGATGTTTATTCACGATGAATAAATATTAGCTCTCCACTTCCCTTAGGATCTCTGCTTCTTCTAATGTCATCACAACCCTCCTTTCCCAAACCCTTGAGAGACACTTTGGTCTGCTGTGTCGAAGTAAAGTGCTTTGGTGGCGAAGGGAGGAACCCTGTGAATTTCTAAATATCTCCAGATTCAAAGTTCAGAACAAACAAACTCAGGAAATCTGGGCATGCCTGCATAGAAAAGCAGGCTTGAAGAAAGATGACTTGCTGGCAAAAAAAAAAAAAAGGAAATTTAAAGATTGCCACTGGGGAAAAAGAATGCCACTGATTTCATTTCCTTGTGATAGGAATAACAGGTGCTCAGAAGCACTGACATGAAAACAAGCAAGATAGGGGGGGGGGGAATGCAGAGCTTTCCATCAGCCAGGAACTTAGAAGCAGGGCCTGTATCTCCTCACTCAAGTTCTTTCCCATTCAAGAATCAGACCTCAAGTTTCTGTTGAATTTGGCTTGAAGAATTTGGCCTGCTGAAAGCTGCCATCAGAGCAAGAAGAAAGGACCTGAAACCAATGCTCTCAGGCAGAGAGCCCCTAGCAGGAAGCAGGGAGACGAAGGACCCATTTTCTCAAGTGCAACAGCTATGTGATTTAACTCTGGTGTGAGCCTGAAATGGAGATTTACCTACAGTAAAGTTACCTGAGCAGAGGCAGTGTTAGTCATGTAGGAGGTTACACAATACCAATGGTTACCGTTGGGAATCTCAGAAGTACTCTCAAGGCTGGCTTTATGTGCAGGTGACCATGCGAATGCAATGGGATCCATGGGCCCCTGGCTCTCCTACTGTCACCTTGAAGTTCTCGATAATTTTGGAACAACAGGCCCCATAGTTCAATTTAGCAGAAGATGCTACAAATTGTAGTTTAGTCAAGCAGCCAAGAATGGTTGTGATACTTCGCAAAGGCCAAGTTAGTAAGTATAATAATTTAAATAAAATATAAGCTAACTCTGTCAATGAAATGAGATAAAAGTTCTTTCTAAAAGTAAGAGTAAGTAAAAGTATTTTAGATTGGGATACAGAACTGCAAGGTTTTAGAGACTGGAAATTTTAAAAATCATAAGTTATCGACAAAGAGGAATTGGATCAAGGTTATACAAGGGCCTTAAACAAGTTCATGGAAAATGGAATTAAAAGAGTGTAAATTTTCCACGAAGTTTTCCAAGTGTGCTCAGGGTATGTGAGCAGTTGTCAAAATATATGACGTAACTGTGCTGTTAACGATGCATGGTTCTTTTTCCCATTCACCTGACATGTATTAGAGAAACACCAACTGGAGAAAGGAGTACAATTTGAGGCACACAAATGCAAGCAGGAATTAAGTATCCTTTAAGACCACAGTGACCTGGGGCACTATCCCCAATTATTTTAATATCTGAGCTTTAGCTGAAGCTCAAGATTCAGTCCACTGAGATACAACAATCTGACCAAAGAAGCACATGAGGAGAGTGGGGAGAACAGGCGTGAAGCTTCTCGTGTTTATACAGTAAATCACAGCAATAAAATGTCAATTCTGCTGGATGCAGTTAGATTTTGAGAAGTTTAATCACTGTTCCAAAGGCTAAGAAATGCTTCATGACTTGGCCAGAAAGCTCACTTCATTTATTTGAAACAGCTCATCCTAAGCCTTATGAGTTTGAATACACTTAACCAGTTCTCTGAATGCAGATATTTTTGATTTGCATATGAAAAAATACTATTTCTGTCTTTAGTACAAGAGATGTACACTTAACTTTCTGATTCTGCATGTCCAGAAAAAAATATTTTTCTACGTAATTTCTGTTTTCCAAATCAGATTCAAATGAAAAAGCATCTCGACTGGATGCTTTGCAATGGCCTTGTATAACTGGAGAGATAAAATGTGTATTTCTGTTCAGGTAAAGATGATGTGAACATATGCTTTCCCCTTTGCTTCTGTCCTCAAAAAACAGGGTAAAATCTAGAAGCAATCAGATATCAGATTCCTCAAAAAGTGCAGGAATTACAGGCACCAGGAATTTTGGAGAGAGAACCTGCGTGTACGTTTGAGGGTGGGAGAGAGGGAGGTTACAATGAGGGTTTTGGTTGAAAATCCTAAGAAGCCAGAGATCACCTTGCATTCCTTCTGCCACTGGGCTGACCCCCTTTCTCACTCCTGTCTGAAGAATGGAGGTTCAGTCTTAGTGGGTGGAACCGATGGTCTGCAGGGTAGGGGTCTTCGGGGAGAGCAGAGGGCATAAGGACACTTCTGAAAATGGGGACATTAGCTGGTTTAAGCCTGTTAGATGCAGACATAGTCCCCTGCCTTGCTCCACTTCCGTAAAGCTAGAAGCCAGCCTTAACTTTTTCTGAGCAAATCTAATCAACTTCAGCAGAAAGATAAAGAAACTGGTATTACAGTGCCCCTGGGTAAACTCACAGAAACTGAACCCTAACCATGCCTTTGGAGGCATTTATTTGAAAGGCAGAATGGCAAAGGGGAGGACAGGGTGTTTCCACCCATTGATTAACTCCCTCAAGAGCTTGTGCTAGAGCATGGGACTCCAGCTAGGTCTCCCACCTGGGTGGCAGGGGGCCCCGTACCTGAGCCACCATTTACTGCCAACCCAGGTGCATCAGCCAGAAGCTGGGTCACAGCAAAGCAGTGAACTTGTGCTCTGATTGGGATGTGTGCCCCCCAATGGTAGCTTAACTTGCTTGGCTAACTCACTACTTTCTGTTTAAAGTATTATGAAATATACACATTCCATACCACTGGTCCTTGAAAGCATATTCCAGGGCCGAACTGCCACTAGGATGTTGACAAGCAGGCATAGCTCAGTGGCTATATCCTCACCTTGCAAGCACTGGGATGCCCTATGAGTGACTTCGGTTTGTCTGGGCTGCTCCACTTCTCATCCAGTTCCCTGTTTGTGGCCTGGGAAAGCAGAGGAGGGTGGCCCAAAATCCTTGGGATTCTGCACCCACATGGGAGACCTGGAGGAAGCTCCTGGCTTTGGATTGGCTCAGCTCTGGCCATTATGGCCACTTGGGGGTTGAGCCAGCAGATGGAAGCTCTTTCTCTGATTCTCATTATCTGTAAATCTGACTTTTCAAAAAAAAACCCAAAATAAACCTTTTTTAAAAAAGAAAGTTTATAATCCAATAGTTTTTAGTATAGTCAGAATTAAACAGCTATCAGTACAATCAATTATAGAATATTTTACTCTTATACAAAGAAAATTGCACTTATTAGTGGTCACTCCATTTTCCCCACGCCAGCTAATTGCTAATTTAGTTCTTATGGCACATTTTAAAATATGACAGACATCCAAAGAGAACCACTAGTGTCAAAGAGGCAGAAAATGTGCTGCTGTTGTGTCTAACATATTTCATTTAGGTGCCCCATTATGGAAACTCTTGTTAAGCATCTGAGAGTCAATGTATTAGTTTTTTTTGTTGTTGTGGCTGTAACAAAGCACAGGCTTAAAGCAACACAATGTGTAATCTTACTAGCAGAGGTGCTAAAGTGAATGCTGCTGGCAGGGCTGGGATGCTTTGTGGAAGCTCAGAGTGGGGATTCATGTCCTTGCCCTTGGCAACTTGGAGTTCACTTGCATGCATTGGGCCAAGGATCCTTTATCTTCAAGGTCAGTAGAACAGCATCTTCAAATTCCCCCTGACTTTGGCCTCTGCTTCTTATGCAATCACTTGGCCACTTCTTTTATGGTTTCCCTGCCCCCTTTCTCTTAGTAGGACCCTGAGTCCATCCAGACAATTCAGGGCTCTCCTTCCATCTCAGAATGCTTACCTTATAATCAATCTGCAAAATCCCTCTTGCTCTGGAGGGGTAATATATTCCGAAAGACCAGGAACTAGAATGTGGACAATGGGGGGCTGGAGGCATTATTCTGTCTACTCTAATCACTCGACCACACCTCTGAAAGAGAAAACTAAAATGCCTTTGAAGGCAACTATGTAACATTAATGTAAAGAGCTTGCTTAAAAAACTATGCATAAGAAATTCCTTAATAAGAATGCTAGAACCCTAATCGATAATTTCTATACAGTGCCATGACAGAGTGCTTTCCCTCACAGATACTTTTCCTGCAGTAAGAACCACGTCCACTCTTTCTTCCAGCACTAAAGTGAGAGATTCCTGGTGTTAGAGACAGCCTGGCCGGATGCTTCTGTGGGCACAGCTTGGTAGGGTGCTCAGTCTCACCTGTTTGAGTAAAGTGCAGTCCTGTCATGTGTGTGCTGCTCGTTGACGTACAATGAAGAAGAAGAAATTGTGGTGGCCAAGGAAGCAGCTTCAAACAGCGATGGAGTGCTGGGCACCAGGTCTGGCCGGTGTCGGGAGCCCAGGGCTGGGTAGGAAAGCAAGACACACACATGACTCTCAAGAACATAGGATGCTGGGCCCGGCGCGGTGGCGCAAGTGGTTAAGTCCTCGCCTTGCATGCCCCGGGATCCCATATGGGCGCCGGTTCTAATCCCGGCAGCCCTGCTTCCCATCCAGCTCCCTGCCTGTGGCCTGGGAAAGCAGTCAAGGACGGCCCAAAGCTTTGGGACCCTGCACCCGCGTGGGAGACCCGGAAGAGGCTCCTGGCTTCGGATCGGCATAGTATCGGCCCGTTGCGCTCACTTGGGGAGTGAATCATCGGACGGAAGATCTTCCTCTCTGTCTCTCCTGTCTGTATATCTGCCTTTCCAATAAAAAAAAAATCATAAAAAAAAAGAACATAGGCTGCTTCAGCATCTACTACAATCTTAATGAGTCAAAATTCTTCACTTGTCAGGATACAAATTAAATTATGAATTAACTGCACGCTCGCAGTCCACAGCAGCTGCTTGAAATCACACTCATCTATAGTTTATGGTAGTGACATTAGGAATGTTCTCTTAAAAACTGGGGGTTGCACAGCCTGGAGCCTCTTCCAGGTCTCCCACGTGGGTGCAGGATCCCAAGGCTTTGTGCCATCCTCCACTGCCTGCACAGGCTACAAGCAGGGAGCTGGATGAGAAGTGGGGCTGCCAGGATTAGAACTGAGGCCCATATGGGTTCCCAGCATGTGCAAGGCCAGCAGTTTAGTAACTGTGCTACTCCACCGGGCCTATGTTGTTTTTTTTTTTTTTTAACTACACTTTTGCTGTATGAAAAAATATTTCAGAAGCAGCATTAAGAACTAAACATGCAGAAATCAAGTTGTACAGCAATGGAGTATGAGTATGATGGAATATATGTGCACATAATTTAAAAAAAATAAATGTTCAAGGAAAAAACAATTGGGGGTTGGCCCAGGCATAATGTTCAATGGCTAAATACTCATGCTACAAGCACCAGGATCCCATATAGGCACTGGTTTATGTCTCAGTTGCTCCACTTCACATCCAGCTCCCTGCTTGTGGCCTGGGAAAGCAGCAGAGGATGGCCCAAAGCCCTGGGACACTGTGCCCACGTGGCTGTCAGTCATCACTTGTGCTTATCAGTGAAGGCAAAGTCAAGCCCGGCCAGTGGCTCACAAAGGCAAGACACGAGTCTGCCTACAGCAACACCTGACCAGCACACCCAGTTCTTAGAAAGACAAGAAGTATACAGCTAACACATGCTGATACCTATGGAAGACATACATCTAATAAAACGCAATGTGTACATGGTGTGCAAAAAGAATATTGTAAGACTTAGTTCCAGAAGACTAAATTAATGAGCAGACATCTTACTGGTACCTTCCACAGCTGTGCATGTATGGACACATACAGAATGGAGCAAGTAGTAAGACCAACAAAATGTAGTATTTATTGCCATCAGATAGCTAGATTCCACATTGGTTTCCATATGAGAAAGCACAAATTATATTGTACATGTCATGTTTAAAATTTACATAAGCAGCACATACTGTATATAACCTTTAAGATTTAAAATTAAAACTTTTTTTAGAGTAGGTGTTTTGTTCTAGTCTCTCTGGGCTAAAATTACACATACAAATTTATTTTAAAAAATTATATGTGTTTACCTTCTTCATCAAGGCTACTAAAACTTTGTCCTTCAGTCAGCAAATCTCGTTTCTCATCCTTCCACTCCTGGCTAATGGAGGACACAATCTCCTGTGAGGTGGCCTTGAAGGCAGCGATGGAATTGCACCGCTTTTTAGAAGGTGATGCCTTTAAAGCTAGAGAAAGGAAAAGGGAGAGGCAAATAAACATGTACTGAAAAACCAGGTGAAATTTCTACTAACAAAATTGATACTGTATTCCTATTTATTAATATGTTAGTCTTTGCACAGATGCAAAGAATCTTATTTACATATTGCATTTGTATGCATAGAAAGGAATACAAACTGTTTTGGACACACTGTCCAAAACACTTTTATTTAAGTCTAAATAATTCTAGATGTACTTTTTCGGTAGATTTTGAAATTAAGTTTTATTTGGGGTGAAATTCAAATGTTTTCTTCTGAAGAATTATTTTCCTCCTCCAAACCATGTTTTTCTAGTGTGGGGAGGAGGCTGGTAGCTTGGTTAACGCAGACAGTGAAATACAAAGAATTCTCATGACCCCAGTTTTATGAACTTGGGACTGGGAATTTCCAAGCAGGCCCACGTTTAATCTTGTATGCATGTTGCCCAATTTAGCCAAGTGACATGTTGGTTTTTTTCTTGCTGTGACTTTCCACTGAAATTTCCTATTTTTTGGGTCTTGAGTAGGTCATGGCCATATCACATGCATTACTCAATTTTGATCTTCATCCAAAAAGACTTCTACAATCTTAGAAGCGTGTTGGGAACCCGAATCCACAAAAATGTCCTTCCTCATCTATCATGCGTGCTGACAGCTGTGACTGCCTGGGACATGTTGCTGGGCACTGCTTCAACTGCAGCCAGACTACTGCCACGGAGAGGTACTCAGAGCTGCAAGAACTCCTCTCGGCTAAATATCGCTCAAGACTCGCCTTTGCAGGGTGGGAAGGAAGATGAGGTTTATTTATTACACTCTCCTTGCTTCCTTTGGTAGTGCCTCCTCCTTCAGGGCTCTGCACAATGGGGTAACCAGCCTTGGGGTCTCGGCTAGCCCTGGGCATCTCCGGGTTTAGACTACATGGCTCATCTGGGGCCTTCCCATGGGCTGCTCATGAGATCTGAACTGGAGAAGGACTGTGAGACACACACACAAGAAGGCAGCAAAAAGGGCAGTCTCCGCACTTGAAAGGTTATCTGTTCCTTGAGAAGTCTTATCGTAACAGTATCATCTTTTTTCATAGAGTCTGCAGAAGAAAGTTTTGGGGTTTGGAAGCCAGTAATTTGTATATGCACACCTGAGTGAGCCTTTTCACGGGTGTAGAAGCTGAGTGGAAAGAACGGTCATGACCTGGTCAGGGTCACTGCTCAAGGTCGTAGAGAAAGAACACCTGCACCTCGGATGTCTTTTATTATTAAGTTAGTGGCTCACTTTCTAGCTCCTCACCATCTATGTTTTGGTTAAAGTGATGGGGAGCTGGGGAAGACAAAACTAATCTTAGAAATGGTGAAGGCTTAAAAATTGATAAAAATGGATTTTAATAATAACTAAGTTGGCCAAAAACTGTGTTTTCCTTAACTCCCCAGGCTATCCAATGGCAGTTTGACTTCTTTCACAAGTCAAAGAATCATCCACAGACTGGCGTCAGCCTTAACATTCTGGTAACTTTTGTCAATACTTTATAAATTTTTATAAATTCTATCATTCAATATGTCACAGCATACCATGTGACTTGGGGACGTTCTGGGTCCCTGAGGATCTCCTCTCAGAAGACCTGCAGTTTAAACTCCTTTCTTAGTCCCACTACACTGCTGGCTGTCTTTTCCACTCTGTTCTCACACACAGAGGGAGCCCCAGGACCTCCACCACCAAAACCGACTTCAGAATCAGAACAAAGACTCCAAGCACCTCCTAATCAGGCAGCCTCTAGAGGTCTGGGAAAACATTAAAGCAAATCACATTTCACACTAAATTACTTGTTTTGAAAATATATCTTTTGCAAATATTTTGTGAAATTTAAGTATTCGTTAAAACTGACTTACATTAACATGCAGTTTTGTTATCAATTTTTAATTTCTACTCTGTGAAACACAGCACAGGCTATATACACAAAAACTGTTCTTAAGCCCTGAGATCAAAAGCTTTGAGAACTGCTTTTATTCATCACAGCACTAGCTGGATGGCAACTGTCTAAACAGCAAAGCAGCTCTGGGGCAGAGAAGTTCAGCAGCACCCAGGAGGCATGAATGAGGTGAGCAGTGCGATGAGGCAGACACTCAGGTGAGCTGTCTAGGTGGAAGAGGAACCATGTGCTCACTGTCAGTGTTGTAAGGGATGAAGAAGACAGGAAGACCAAAGGTAAATGCCTGGCAAGACCACATTGCACCTAAACAAAGCACTGAGTTTTGTTATAAGTGCTTGATTTCTTCCTTGAAGGAATGATGTGAGCACTCAGTGGCAAGAATTAAATGTTACAGAGATTTCCTTGGAGCTGGTGTGATGGTTCAGCAGCTAATCCTTTACCTGCAGGCGCTGGCATCCCATATGGGCAGCCAGCTTGTGTCCCAGCTCCTCCACTTCCAAACAAGCTCCCAGCTTGTGGCCTTGGGAGAACAGTGGAGGATGGATCATATTCTTGGGTCCTTGGACGCACGAGACAGACCTGGAGGAAGCTCCCATCTCCTGCTTTGCCTTGGCTCAGCTCTGGCCACTGTAGCCATTTGGGGAGTGAACCAGCAGATGGAAGACCTTTTTCTCTCTTTATCTCCTTTTCTGTGTAAAGCTGCCTTTTCAATAAAAATAAATAAATTTTAAAAATGCTACAGGGATTTCTTCTGACAGGGTAACTCTCAGCGGTGGCTGGGTTGCTAGTTACTTTCTGCTGCGTGACAACTCCTGACATTTCCAGCTGCTCCTTGCTGGCACTGTGTTCGGTCACTCGCCTCCTCTACACAGAGAGAGAGAGACAGAGAGACAGAGAAGGGCCTTTTATCTGCTGCTCTTCCAATGGCTTCAATGGCTACAATTGAGTCAAAATAAACCCAGAAGACTGGAATTCCATTGGGGTTCTCCACATTGTGGCGGGGCCTAAGTACTTAGGCCATTTTCTGTCCCTTTTACCACACACATTAGCACATTGGACATGGAGCGGCTGGAACTTGAGACACTGCTCATTCGGTGCTCAGTTCACCATGCCACCGTGTTGGCCATGTGTGAACCGGCTTAGACAGTCAAACAGCTAGATTTGAAGCCAGATACTATTTTCTTGGTAGAGGAGCTCCCAGAGCTCAGGGTGTGGGAGGGAAGCTGTAGAGTGAGAAGGAACATCACAAAGGATCTAGAAGACAAGCTAAGGTTTGTGCACTGAGAAATCCTGGAAACAGGGCAGCTACCAATAAACTGAGAAGAAACAAACCGTACCATGTCTATGTAATGGAATATCCCGCAGGAACAAAAGGTCCTGATCATTACCACAACACAGAAATCTTGAAAACAGAGTTAAAGGACAAAAATACAAACATAAAAGGTCACGCATGATTTATAGGAAATGTTTAGAATTGGTAAAATTATAACGACTTAAAGTAAACTGGCAATTGCAGGTGGCAGAAGAGGGAATGAAGGGGACTGAAGTTCTTTTTAAGGTATTAAAACTCAAATCCAAATAATGGTGTTGTTTGTGTAATTATGAATATTCAAGTGTTTGGAACCACAAAAATATGTACTTCAAAAGATGATTTTAATGGTACGTGAATTGTATCTCTACAAAACAATGATTAAAAAAAAAAGAGAGATGATGAAAGAAAAATGGACAAAGTAAAAATTTTTGTTTAATTGGGAAATAAAAAGCTGTCACCTTAGAAGCATGGAAAATGTACCACCTGGGAATGTGGGAACCCATGCCACATTTTCCAGGCTACTAGGGAAGAAAACTCTCCCATGATGGGCAGTCCCAAAGGGGAAGCCTGCCTAACCTGGTCTTTAAGTATGCACAACTCACAAATCTGCAGGGGTTGGAAGGAAACAGGTATTCTAACCTCGACACAGGTTGAACAGAGCTGGGAAACCTTCCTCGAAAGTGGCTGCACGGGCATCTCACCTGCTGCACTTTGAACACTCTTAGTGCTGGAAAGTGTTGCAAGCATGGATGTTTTCACTTGTCTTAGGCCAAAAATACCTTGGGCAAAGGACTTAATTTATCGTGGTTTCAATTTGCAACAAATTTATGACAACATTGAGATAGTTGTAAATGTGAAAAAAGTCAAGTTTTACTGAGACGGAAATAACGTCAGAAAAAGGCTGATAACTTTAAAATGTAGAGGTCACATAAATCATTTGGAAAAATAACAAACTATTCAATAGAAATGGTCAAATATCTTTAAGTTCAGTGCTCAGGGGACTTATCAATGGCTAATAAACATAAATGATGGTTGAATATTGCCAGTATTTAAGAAATGGAAACAAAACAAAAACTGAAAAAATCCCATCAGATAATATTTTTTATCTGATTTATACTGATTAGCATAGTTTAAGCAGAAAACTTCAGCCAAGAGCTACAGACTCTTCCATGCAGTTACATAAATTTTAATATCCCAGTATTGTTTTTTTGGAATCTATCCTAAAGAAATAGAGCTAAGTTTGGATATAACATTTGTTGGAAATGATGTTTATAAAAAGTTAGAAATAGAAAAAGAAACTATATAGTGCCCAATACTGAAAAGTACGGGTAAATACACCATGACTACACATATAATTTTAATGCTGTACTGCAATTTTAAATGGTATCTTTGTAGAACATATAATTATATGGGAAATCATGTAATAATGTAATATTAAAAATAAAGGACATATAATTGTGTACAATTACACTACTGGTTTGTTTTCAATTTCAAAGGAAGAGTCTCACACACACACATACATGCACGCACCTTAAGAGGAAGAGAGAAAGACGGAGAAACAGAGGCAGAGAGAGAGAAAGACGGAGACAGAGAGAGAGAGAGAAAGAGCGAGAGACACAGAGACAGAAAGAGACAGAGAGATGGAGAGAAAGAGACAGAGAGAGAAAGAGACACACACACAGAGAAATTGATCTTTTATTTACTAATCAACTCCCTCAACGCCCAGAACAGCTGGGGCCGGGCCAGGTACAAGCCACGAGCCGTGAGAATGCCATCCAGGTGTCCCACTGAGGCAGGGCCTAAGTAATGGAGCCAGCATCTGCTACCTCCCAGGTAATATTAGCACGAAGCTGGAGAGCAAGCAGAGGTGGGACTCAACCCCAGGTACCCAGATGGGGAGTGAGAGCCCAGAACAGTGGCCTAACCCACTGTACCACAGGGATAACCTCAGCTACCGGATTTAGACAGAGACACAAAGCACAGAATGAAAGAAAGGCAGGAAGTACTTTAAAATTTTGGTGGTGGATACCTCTGGGTTATGGGATTCAAGTCATTTTCATTATTTTCTTTACATTTTCTTACATTCTCCAAGATTTTTACATTCCAAGTAGTGTAGTCTCATTAACAGAAAGCTCCAAGAAATATTTATGAGAAAAATCATAAATAAGTACAAAACATGAATATTGCACTTCTTCAGTTTTTTTTAGTATGATTAAATCATCATGTGTTAAGCTATGAAATTGGACCACAGAAGAGTTAAATGTTTAAATAATAAAACATGCATAATAAGGTTATATTCTCCTTTTCACATCGTTTTAAAAAAATCATCACCAAATGCAAAATAGGCTAATTACCAGTATGGGGAAAACAAGGCCCCATGTAATGCCACAATTTGAAATAATTATTGTTAGCTTTGGGTTTTATTTACTCTTCTTTTTTTAGTAAATCAAGATTTAAAGTTAGGATATTGGTTTGAGATTCTCCTTTTTAATACAGGAGTTTAGAGCTATAAATTTCCCTCCAAGTCCTGCCTTGGCAGCATGGGATAAATTCTTAGTATGTGTTTTTTCATTTGTGTCTGATTTTTAAAAATTTCTCTATAAGTGTATGCTTGTCATGTACTTTTACATTTTTTATTTTTCTTTACTGATATTCTATTGTGATCAGAAAAGGTACTCTGGATGATTTTAATATTGTTCAATTTATAAAGATATATTTAATGGCCTGATAGGTGGTGTATGCTGGAGAGAATTCCACGAGAGTAACTACTGTTAATAATTTTCTATTTCCCTTTAGAATCCTGCTGGTAATTTAGGGTATACAGGCCAATAACCATACATATCTGAATAAATCTCCATTTAAAGGACAAATGTTCCTGCAATACATCATTTTTATTGGTTGTGTAATGTCTCCTTGTTTGAATGCATCAAATTTACAAATTAGATTGATAGACATGAAACAGTTTTATATATATATATAAATATATATATATTTTTATAATTTTTTTAATATATATAAATTTTTAGCACAAAAAAGAACTTAGGTGACTATGGCATCCATAAATACTCGAGTGGATATTTAACCCTAACAATGACTAGATGACCACCACTTAGGATAAAACACAGTGATGGTCTACCCACACAGGTCTTGCAGATTCATAATGAAGCCAGTATACAGGTGCTGAAAGGAAGAGACTTTTAGAAGAATCTTACCTTGGATCTTCTTGAAAACCCTGGAATTCATAAACTTAAGGAATCTGTCTGCATAAAAACTTGGTCTATGAACAGAAACAGTGTCCTGAAAAGACAAACGAAAAATCACAAGGTTTGCCTCAGCAAGACATGAGTCCCATGGAAGATGGGTGTCACTGGCTCCTTGCTAGCCAATGGTGGCAGCTAACACCGGCAACAGCTAGAAGATGCCAAATTCAAGATCCAGAGGGGTCAGATTCCGAGGCTGAGAGGGGAGGGTGAGGACTCAACCCCAGCAGAGGCTCGGATGCAATGAGAATCAGGGAAGACCCCATGAACCCTAAGCACAACATGGGGCCCCAGAAACATTTTTATTTAACCTTATAGGTAGCTAATGCCTCAAGGGCCATGAATAAAAACTGGGAACACAAATGTCAGGATGACAACTAGGACAAATCATGTGTTCAGGCTATTCCTCCTAGGATGGGGTGAGCAGACCCCGGGAGCAGTCCTGGGAAATCTGGCTTACACTGAATTAACCACTAAAGACACAGTTAGATTGGATTAAACTGTTAACTCTTGCCTTGTGCCCAGCAGCCATCTGTAGGGCTGCAGAGCCACTTTAAACGCAGGAAACAGGAGGGGTAAAGGCAATATCAGATTTTTCATATTTACTTGTCACAATTGTGTAAAGAGTAAACTTAGTTCTCAGATATGCTCCTCGATTTTATTTATGGATTTTAACAGGGAAATTTCTAAAGACACAAGTCCAGATACTGCAAGGGACTGCAGTAGGGTTGGAAGGAAGAACAGATATTGGAGCAGAAGTCCGGCGGCTGCGACTCTCAGGGTTGTATGATGGTAGGGGAAGCTGGGCTTCAGCTGCTTCCTCTGCGAAGTGGAGTTGGGTGAGCTGAGATCCGTGTGTCACAAAGGGCACAGGATGCAGGAGCCCTCGTGGGGGCTGTGCCCTTGCTCTAGGTTCCTAGTGAGGATGTGGATGGGTTTAAAGCTCTCTTTACAGAATCCCAGCAGCTTCTGCCGGGAGATCAGCTTCCATTGCTCACAAGTATGGTGAGTCAGAAACACCAGTGGCTGGCAGGGGACTGGGAGAGGGAACTGACCCAGCCCGCATTCCCTGATCACAGGGCCATCCCTGCTGTCTTTGGCACACACACTTCACATAAGGGCCTCATTTGTAAATAAGTTAAGTCTTGATATTGCTTACAAGTTCACAGATATGCAGTCAGCACAGAGATTTTCTTAAATTAAAAAACAAAAGGAGGACAGGTTTTAAACAGATAGGGCCCTTAGAAGCACCCAGGTTAGGAGGCCAAGCTATTCGGAACAGAAACCTCACCTGGCAAAAAGGACCTGACTGTGAGGAAGGAGGCCTGGCATGGACCATGATGGCTGCAGAGCTGCTTTTTGGGGTGATGAGCTGACTTAGGATTCACCCTGCTAACGGTTTCACACCTCTGTGATTATAATAGACTTTAAATGGTGACTGGTGTGATAATATCAATTGCATCCCAATTACTGATTTTTCAAAAAAGGGACTGATTGGGGTGTTTGCCCTCTACCTTCCTTGTTCAGGATACTGTGGGGTCCCCACCTTCCTCAGCAGCACGAGAGCCCCACCGTCTGGATGTGAGTAAACCTGAGGCTAGTTCTTGGAAACCGCTGGTGAAGTGGCTGTTTCAGGGGCTCCAGGCAGAGCTCAGCCCTCTGCCTACTGACAGAATGCACTTCTTCCAGGTCCACAGGCTCGGAGGAGCCTCCCAGCGATCCCCACAGGCAAAGAACAAGACCTGTACACCGCGTCCTGTTTCTGCTAACCTCTGGAAAGGACACGTGCGACCAAACCTTTAACCGACATGGTTTGCGAAAGTGCTACTTCACAACTGAGGCATGCTAATGGCAGGAAATGTCAGGAGCAGGCAGTGCAAACCACGCATCTCAGGTGTGTGTGTAAGTTAGAGACACAGAGATACACTGCTTTTTGGTCATTGATGTTTCCTCTGTGTTGTCAACTAAGACACCTTCCTATCAGCATGTACAAATGTATGCATATAAGACCATAACACATCCAAATCTCTACTGATTAAAAAATTCACTTTCTGGGTTTTTAATTTGTTAGTCACTGTGTAGCACACAAATACGTTTCATTTTCTTTCCCTCCCGTCTGGCATGTACCTCTGGCATCCCTGCTACAGATGAGAGCACAGAAGAGGCCACCCGGCTAGTGAAGTGCTGGGTGCCACCCAAGGTCGTCAGAATCCACACTGTTGGCCTGAGAACTGCATGGAACTGCCCCGGTGAGCTTCCTGGTGCCTAGGAGCAAGGTTTCTTCTTTATCCTCCTGACTCTCTGATAATCGGGTGTCTACGATGGCAGACACAGCTTGTTCTCCTGGCCTCTTCATCCCCACTCAGCTCCTAGCATCTCTGTGAACAGCTGAGCAAGTTTACCTTGTCTTTGTTCTCTGATTTCCACCAACCCACTAAAGACTTTGAGTTCATAAAGATCTTTATTTGCTCTTCAAGTCTAGAGTTGGATTTCAACACACGCCACAGTCTGAGTTTAACAAAAAACAGAAGTCACTTACCCCATCATAAACAAGAGCTTTCCAAGAATGTTCTAACTTCTTCATTAACCTAAAAATAGAAAGACAACAATGAGAATGTGAAAACTTACCCATGTGGTGACTTTTTAGAACTGCTTATTAATTAATTGTGAAACGATTCAAGGTGACTTTCTCAGGTTTCTTACCTATATGATTGGAGAATATCAATGATGCCCATAAATAAAAGTAGCTTTTCTCCCTTATGGCTTTTAGCTGGAATGCCTCCCATTCTGTTGGCAGAAACAAAAACAAAACCTTATTTGATCACATATGGGTTCTAAGCAATCTTTTCTAAAGATTAAAAATAAAAAATAAAAAAGATTAAAAATAAAAAAGACAACCCTAAAAATTGTTTTTGCTATCTCCCACTTCTCCCCCATCTGCTTTTTGGCTTCATTTCAAGCTTTCCTGGGAATCCAGAATGATGCATTTCCCACAATGGAGAGTAAGAGCATGGCTGACAGCTCTGAAGAATCCAATTTAAAAACAACTCCTATTTTAAAATTATGAGCAAACATTTGTAGAGCATTATAAAAAAAGCATTATTTTTCAGAAATGTGACACTTGTTCTGATAAACAGCATAGTATATTTTGTGAGATTTTAAAATAAAAATACACAAGAGCACAAAGGAAAAAATATCCATCATTAGAATACATAACATTTGGTATGCTTTTCTGGTATTTATGTGTCAATTTATTCCTCTACAAAATGAATAATTTACCATGCTTTATAACCTAAATTTCTCACTTGCTAAATGATGATCACTTCATCAAACTCAATGCTAATAATTTTAATAGCTGCCTAGTATTTCAGCATACCAATATAGAATAATTTGTTTAACTGGTTACTATATAATCATATGGATTTGCAAGATAGTATTAAAAAGATTTAATATGCATTAATTTCCTTCATAACACTGAAATACGCCTGTGATTCAGTTACTGTCGGAGAATCTGAGGAGGCAGGCACATTCAGCCATGGAAAAGGATTTTCTTTTAGTCTGCTTGCTTAGCTAGTACACGCTCATGACAGAGCCAACCATTTCAGCAATTTCTTTTGGCTGTAATTGTTTCCGTTAGTTAACATGCACTTTATATATGCAAATTAACCCCACAGTTCCTTTCACATCTGGCTGAGATGAGAGACCACATCTGCCAGGGTGCAGGATGGGAACAGAATCAATCCTGTTATGCAGATAACAAGTTTGGAATTGCAAACACTGTTCCCATCTTGGACTCACTTCAAAACATGCTTATTCAAATTCAAAGTTGATATCCTCCCTTGTGGTGGATATTCTGAATACACAGGAAATAGGAGATTAAAAGCATCTTTGGCCACTGTTAAAATATGGTTTCTTTAAGAAAAAAAGAAACCATGTGGGAGAAATAATAAAAATAAAATAATTCAGGATATCACACTCCTCTAGTAATCCACATGAGAATAAAGATGAAGGCCAGTTTGAGCCACTTTGGCACAAAGTGGCAATATATTCCCAGAGTACCACCACTGGGGGAACGAGACCACAAGTGAACACTCAGTGACGGATTGTCCCCAGCAGCGGTGGGCATGGCTAACTCACGAGTCAGGGTTCTCTGTGGTGATGCCGTCCCCAGTCTTCCCCGGACCCTGGATGGATTCCATGGCTGTTGAGTAGAGGACCTTCTGTGTGCCGGGCCGTTTAGCATCAGGCACATTTGGGGAGGTCTCCTCTTCTCTCTCTTTAAGGCAATGATCCAAGATGTGGATCCCCAGCAAAAGGCTGTAGTCCATGATCTTGAAACTTTCTAGCACCTGAATGAGAAACAGAAGCAGGAGGCCAGTCAGCGCCCATGGTCGGTAAGTTCTGGAGATGTGGACACACAGCTCCTGCAGCTCTCCTTTCAGCGTGGCCGAGAGGAGAAACATGAAAATCAAACACCTTGGGACAAATGACACACTTGGAAAATGACACACTTGGGAAGGATGATGACAGTAGCTACAAGGTGAGACTGTGATGCAAATCTAGACCCAGCATATCCTTCTCAATGCCTCACTACTGCTTCACAAGTAGCATTCATTCACTATTTTCCACGTGCCTGATGCAAAGTGGTTCACTTCTCACAAGAACAATCTGACGTAGGTCCCAGTACTATCTCTATTCTTTTTTGCAGAGAAATAAGGAATTTGCTCAGTGGCAAAGCACACAAGAGCCACAGGAACACAGCACTGGGGCAGAGACACCAACAACCCACAGTTTGTACTGGCTTGGAGCCACCTCAGCAAGAAGACTCACGGGGGTGGGGGGTTGTGTCTGCCTGGGTTCTGTCTTCAAAATCCTTATCTTTTGCTTCCGCAGAGGTGCCATTCAGTCTTTTTAAAATATGCGACCTCCATTAAGAACAGTATGTAATGCTTAATGAGACACTCAGCAGAGAGTGAGAAAGTGAGGGGATCACAAAGAGATGACAAGAGACAGAGCCTGGGCAGGAGTCTGCCCATGTGGTCTCAGCGGTTAGATGGGAGTTAAGACACCAGGACCCTCTTGGATGGGCCAAGTATGTTCAGGAACAATTCCTGAAAACTGCATGTTTTCCTCTTTGATAAAGTTCTTTTTCTACTAGTTTGTATGTTTTCTACCTACAATGGGACTTTTGAAAAAGTGCTCATCTGTCTTGTCTCATGGTTCTAATGAATTGAGAGACAGGGACAGGTGTTCCAATTCATGGCTTGTTTCTCAAGCACTGGTAATACCCAGGCTCAGGACAGGCTGAAGCCAGAGCCTTGAATCAGTCCAGGTCTCACACATTGGTGGCAGGGATCCAACTACGTGAGTCATGACCTATGGCCTCCCAGGAAGCTGCAAGTGGAAGCAGAGCTGGAACTTAAACCCAGGCATTATGTTATGCGACACAAGAATCCCAAATGGCATCTTAGCTACTACCCTACATCAGACTGAATGTACTTGGCATTTCACACACAAAACTGTTCAGGAAGTCACGGCATGAAGTCTGTGACCTCAGGCAGGCTAACACACTTCCCTGGACCTCAGCTTCCTCATTTGCAAAGTGTGACAATAACCATACTCACTGCATAGAGTCTTGTGAATATTAAATATGGCAATGCAGAGCAACTCCATAGAAAAGATTCTGAATAAAGTAACAGATTGGTTACATGTTACGTACTATCACAATAATGATCATTAATAGGGACCCAGATCCTTACACCAGTGTGAGAGATGTCAGGTATTAGCTTTGAAGAAACAAGGATACACCCCTAAAATACTAAAAACCCTCAACACGAAACAACAATCTGTCTTGTAGTCTGCTTACTACATCACTTGATGAGGTTCTGATTCCTTTAAAAACTCTGGGTGCAAGAGTTCTGGTTAAATCAAGTGCTTGGCTATCAAATAGCATTTTGGCCAATGGGCCACCAGCAGTGACTGCTATCACCTGCGTGGGAACTGCCCCATTTTCAACTGGATGCTGGTTTGAGTCCTGGCTGCTCTACTTGCAATCTAGCTTCCTGTTAATGTGCCTGAAGCAGAAGATGGTCCAAGTACTTGGGCCCTCCACCCACGTGGAGATCTGTATGATTCCATGGCTCCAGGGTCCGGTCTGGCCCAGCCACAACCACTGTGGCCATTTGTAGAGTGAACCAGAGAAAAGAAGATTTTGTTCTCTTTCTCTGTAACTCTTCTTTTCAAATAAATAACAACCTTCCTTTTAAGAGTTAAGAATTTATTTGAGAAAGAAAGAGAGGGAGACAGAGAGAGAGTTCTCATTTACTAGTTCTCCCTCTGACTACCTAAAGCTGGGAACTTTATGGTTTAGCAGTAACAAAAGCAGCAAGAAGCTTTAAAAAGATTAATTCTCTTTGTCCTCTTAATTTGGGTCAAAGTGTCCCCAGGAAAACACTCCTACTTTCAGAGTGAAAGGCTTAAAAAGTTCTATTCTAATTATGCAAAAAGTTGGCCACAACATTTTTTTAGGATTTATTTTATTTTTATTGCAGAGTCAGATATACAGAGAGGAGAAGAGACAGAGAGGAAGATCTTCCATCCATTGTTTCACTCTCTAAAAGGTCACAATGGCCAGAACTGAGCTGATCCGGAGCCAGGAGCCTGGAACCTCTTCCAGGTCTCCCACATGGGTGCAGGGTCCCAAGCTTTGGGCCGTCCTTCACTGCTTCCCCAGGCCACAGGTAGAGAGCTGGATGGGAAGCAGGGAGCCGGGACATGAACTGGCTTCCAGATGGGATCCCAGTGCACGAAATGTGAGGACTTTAGTTACCAGGCTACTGCGCCGGGCCCTTACCACACAAATTTTTGTGGCCAAAATCACCAGCCACAAAAAAGTTAAGGAACAGAAAGATGACTATATCTGCATATATTTTAAATCCACTTTAACAAACTTTCATAATGAGAAATTCTGGGAACAGATTTTAGCCACAATTTTTAAGACTTGCATCAATTAAAAAGAAAATTGTTCTGTAATTCACATCTTCCTCTTCCTTTAATTAAAGGAATTGATAAAAGCTCCAAACAGTTTTCATATGTGAGTTTTCAGAGGGAACAACATCCTGCAACACGATAGGCAGCAGTTGGGCCAGTCTGTCATTCTGACATGCATCTATTCCCAAATGTGTGCCTGAACTTAATGTTGCTGGTGGATTCTGTATCTGCACTTTTTAAAGATTTGTTTTACTTTTATTTGAAAGGTAGAATTGCAGAAAAATGACAGAGAAAGAGAATTCATCCATCTGCTGGTTCACTCCCCAAACGGCCCTAATAGCCGGAGCTGAGCCGATCTAAAGCCAGGAGCCAGGAGTCACCTCCAGGTCTCCCAGTGGGAATAGTGGCCAAGAACTTGAGATGTCTTCTGTTGCCTTCCCAGTCGATACACAGGGAGCTGACTGGATGTGGAGCATCCAGGATAAGAACTGGCGCCCATATGGGATACTGGCACCTGAGGCTCAACCTTCACGCCACAGCGTCAGCCCCTGTATCTGCACTTGTAGTATTTCAAAGAACAAGGTTACAACATAAGTACAGTTGCTCTTTCACCTAATTTTGGCAAGATTTCACTTCTACATATAAAGCAAGAAAACATGAATGATTTAAACTGAAAACCTGCTGGAATCCTGCAGTGTTTGTTTTTCTCAAGGTCAGATGTTTCCCCATTCATTACCAAGGACTACTTTAAGTTCATGGCAGTGTTAGAATGCAGTAGGAACAAAGTCATTTCAGAGTGGCAGGTGGAAAGATACGCTCAGAACCATTGGTTAAAAAGTGCACCTTAAGGGCCCGGTGCAGTGGCGCAAGTGATTAAAGGTCCTCGCCTTGCACGCCCGGGATCCCATATGGGCGCCGGTTCTAATCCCGGCAGCCCCGCTTCCCTTCCAGCTCCCTGCCTGTGGCCTGGGAAAGCAGCAGAGGACGGCCCAAAGCTTTGGGACCCTGCACCCGCGTGGGAGACCCGGAAGAGGCTCCTGGCTTCGGATCGGCATAGTATCAGCCCGTTGCACTCACTTGGGGAGTGAATCATCGGATGGAAGATCTTCCTCTCTGTCTCTCCTCTCTGTATATCTGCCTTTCCAATAAAAAATAATAAAAATAAATCTTTAAAAAAAAAAAGTGCACCTTACGCAGCTTCTCACGGGGGATGCATGAGGAGTGCTCCCCAAGTTCCTGCCAAGCTGGGAACCCAGTGTGGGGGATACTCCAACTCAGAGTGGCAGGGCCTAGAATCCTATGTGCCCAAAGCCCACAAAGAATAGCTGTTCTCTCCTCTTCCTTCTTCATCTTTAACACTCTGCTCTTTAGACCACTGAAGGCTGTCACTGTTCCAATGTTAGCATGAGCTAAAGTGGCTGTCCCAAATGTAAGCCTTGTCTGTAGCCAGGTACCTTACTTTGACTCATGACTCCCCCATCTGTCCTTGAGCAACGTCTCTAACCTTTGTGAATTTCTTATCCTCACCTGAAGACCAGAGATAAGAGGGATTACTCTGTTCCTAACTGTGATAATTAGCTGGGTTAATCTGCCTCAGTCTCCCGCACCAGAAAGCACCTGCAGGACCACCCTGCCTCCTCATGGTCCTTGGCTTCCTGTTTCTTCTCTCTTCCTCTCCTTTCTCTAATTTTGTACTGTATTAATCACTGCTCTCTTTGGCAGCAGGGGTGGGGGTAGGGTGAGAATTTGGGTGTCCAGTCTGCCAGACACAGTTGAACCTGCTGGATCTTTAGGGGAAAATAGTCCATCTTCCTATCCTCAACATTATGTAAACTGGAATTACACATTGTAGGAAAGCCTGAGGAGAAATATGGAGGGACTGTGGAGACTTCCCACAACAGGTATCTACTTTTTAAAAAAGATTCTATCTATCTATCTATTTTGGAAAGTCAGATATAGAGAGAGGAGAGCCAGAGAGGAAGATTTTCTGTCCATCAACTCACTCCCCAGATGGCTGCAATGGCTAAAACTGTGCCAATCTGAAGCCAGGAGTCAGGAGCTTCTTCTGGGTCTCCCACACAGGTGCAGGGTCCCAAGGCTTTGGGCCATTCTTGACTGCTTTCCCAGGCCACTAGCAAGGAGCTGGAAAGGAAGTAGGGCTGCCGGGATTAGTACCAGCACCCATATGGGATTCCAGAGCATGCAAGGTGAGGACTTTAGCCACTAGGCAGTATACCACACCAGGCCCACAGGTGCCTACTTTTGATAGGGAAGTGTTTCAACTGTCCAGGGGGGAGATGATGATACTTGAACAAAGGAGGCCAGGGGGATCTCAGGTAAGAGTGAATAGATCGTTTCT